AAATATTACTACTAAATATTAGCACAGTATAAATAATAGATATTGGATCAAAATTAGTTAATCGCCATATAGTGGACGCTTCTTTTTTATCACTCGAAGAGTGGAGTTTTTTTGGGGTTTTCCTAGTACCTAAGTCCTTCGTCGGCTTTCGCTTTTGAGTTAAAAGAGCGCGCAAAACGCCGCGTATATTACCTATTAATTTTTTTTTGTTTATTATATTCTAGCAATAAACGACAATATGAATTTATTTAAAAAAATAATTACTACCTACTACGAGGGCGGCACTGAAAATTTCGGCAATCTAGGAAGTGACACAACATTACAATTTAAAAATGTATTTATTGCTTTTCGAAGTATTCTCCGCGAAATTTGACACATTTTTCCATACGATGGAACCAATCATTGAAGCAACCATTTTATTCGGAAATTGGGGTCTACAAAATGGCTACAAAATGGTATGAAAATCTGTGTCCACGCAATTTATTCTTTATTTTAGGGAAAGTATAGAAATAATTACGGCTTCTGTACGGCGGATGGTCTAATAATTCTATGTTTTCTTGCTCTAAAAACTCTTTTGTTCTGTGTGCGGTATGAGAACTCGCATTGTCGTGATGGAGGATGATGCGGAGGTTGCAGTTCTCTTTACGGAGTTCAGAAACGAGCAGTGGCAAACAAATGCTAGCATACCATTCTGCATTAACAGTTCTATGTCCCTCAAGAGGAATAGTCGTAACATGGCCGGTTTTGGAGACAAACGTGGCCACCATTTTTTTTGCAACACTCCGTGAACGAACAATTTTTGTTGGCTTTAACTCATTTTCGAACATCCAAACTCGTGACTGGTTTTTTGTTTCGGGTTCGTACGCGTATATCCAGGATTCGTCACCTGATGCGATGTTGTATACATCATTTGAGGATCCTGCGTGGAATCTTTCGAGAGTTCTGACGCACCAAGTAACACGAGCCGCTTTTTGCTCTTCACAGAGCGAATGCGGTATCCATCGGGAAAACAACTTTTTTACACCTAATTGTTCACGCAAGAGTATTTGTATTTGACTCATGCCAATGTCTAAAGTTGCCTGAATTTCGCGGTATGTCACATGTCGATCTTCCTCAATCAGCTTACGCACATCATCAACGTTTTCTTGGGTGACTGCAGTTTTTGGACGACTTTGACGGGGATCATCACTTAGCTTGACACGTCCACGTTGAAATTCAGCAAACCAGCGATAAATTGTGGTTTTGGATGGGGCTTCATCACCAAATGCAGAAATCATCCGGTCAACACACTGTTTTTGTATTAAACCACTTCGAAAGTCATAATAAATCATCGCTCTTGAATTTTCTTGAGTCAATTCCATTTTCTCAACGACTAAATAAGTTTGACAAAATCTTGTGACAAGACCGAGAATCTTTTTTTGAATAAATAAATGGTATTCGATTTTTTAAAACCAAGGAGTTTTCAATTAAAAAAGATTTTAATATGACAGGAACAGTGGAAATATTCCATTCCCGATACTTTTAGTGCAGCCTAGTACATAAATTCTTTATCAAATAATATTTCATATGAAAAATACATACTAAATTTCTGCCACAAACAGTTGCAAATTTGGAATTAATCACGATATTTTATGCATGAAATAACCTTTTTAAATATTTTCGTAGATCTATTTAGCAAGAAAGTGGAAATTTATAACATAAGTATTCAAATGATACTTATATATAATGATACTAGATGTATAGTTGTAGCACGAATGGGTCGGCTCGACCGGGGAAGGACCACGCTCTCACAGAATACCGGCGTGAAATGGTTGCTTAATGCTGCTGTATTTCGCATGGTGAGTGTAGAGAATCGGAGAACCTTTTTACTGGAAATGAGGCATTCCATCTTAGTCCTCACGGGTGACAACATCTGCATTTTGATTTTGATTTGTAATCGAGGATAGATGTAGATGTCTATGGGCCACAACAACCACTTACCATCAGGTGGACTGTGTGCTCGTTTGTCTCCTTATACTATAAAAAAAATACTATGTGTATTGGGGTTGAAATAATAACCATTTCATTATAATTTCTATTATTTTGAAATTAAAATTTTCTGATAATAACTGAGTCTAGATAGGTACAAGGTGTCTCAAAAGAAAGTTCACATTTAAATCTTTTTTTTAAAAGAAAAGTCTTAGCTTTATTGAAAAAATGTTTATTTTATATTGAAGTACACTGTTTGGGAATTTATTTTTTAAAAATAACATTGTCCAAATGTAAACCGTTGCGCTCTCGGCATTCATTTAGTCGGGCACTAAAATTGCCTATGACAGCTCGGCAGGTAGTCTCCGTGATGGCTGCCATTTCATGACGGATATTTTCTTTTAATTGTGCCAGGGAAGTCGGTTTATTAGCGTAAACTTTTGATTTGACATAACCCCACAGGAAAAAATCCATAGGCGTTAAATCGGGACTCCGTGGAGGCCAATTTATGTCACCTCGCCAGGAGATTAATTTGTTCGGAAAAATTTCTCGAACTCGAGGCAGAGATCTGTTGGACGTGTGTGAAGTTGCTCCATCCTGCTGGAACCGTGTTCTTTGGTTGTAACCAGGAAAGTTTTGCAGTTGGGGTACGAAAAACTCGTCTAACATCTCCACATAACGCTCTGAATTCACTGTGAGTGTGCGTCCCCTTCCATCTTCAAAAAAGTAAGGGCCGATAATTCCTCGCGCCGACATCGCTGCCCATACGGTGACTTTGGGTGAATGTAGCGGTTTCTGATGTTTTTGTTTTGGGTTGGTTGCACTCCAGTAACGACAATTTTGCTTGTTTACATGCCCATTCAGGTGAAAATGGGCTTCATCGGAAAACAAGATGTTGGTGAACGTTGGAAAGCGCTCAATCATCTGATTTACAAAGGCAAGCCTCTGACCAGCATCTTGAGGCTTCAGTTCTTGCACTAACTGAATTTTGTACGGGTGCAGCTTTAAATCTTTGTGTAAAATGCGGCATAATGAAGATCTGTGCACATTTAAAGCAACAGCACGCTTCCGAATCGAGAGGTTTGGATCATCTCGAATAGACTGAGTAACACTGTCCACGTTTTCGGCTGTTCTTGATGTTCTTGGTCGCCCAGATTTTGGTTTCTCCAGAGTTGACCCAGTCTCTTCAAACTTCTCAACCCATTTTGCAATGAGACGAGTGCTAGGCGCATCATTTAAGTGACGAATATGTCGAATACTGCAGAATTTTCTACGCGCTACAGTCGCCGAATTACCGTTTTTGTAAAACTCACGTACGCACAACGCACGGTCCGCACCAGAGAAACGCTCCATAGCGACTAAATTCCCAAGAGCCAGACTACCGACTGACATACCCCCGCGCCCCTCAGAATAGTTGCTTTCGCGTAATAAGATAAGCAAATGTGAACTTACTTTTGAGACACCTAGTATAAAGATTTACATAAAAACCTTGGGGAAGCACGCGCCGCTTAGCGGCTTGCTTTGAGTCGGCCATGTCAGTGACCTCATATCGGCCGTAGACTATTATTTATTCTGTGACGTAGATAATATTATCTCGGCACGTGTCGGTAAGTTCAGAAGCAAATAACATTTTTAGAAATTTAATATTTTTTAAAGTTATCTTATTAGAAACCTAAATACCCCCTTTAAAGCAACCAAAAAAAATTCATTATCATAATTACCATGCCTATGTGTACACCCATACGTCCCTGAAACGACCAACAGGGTTTTTGTTACATACTGTATACGCGTTTGTTATTGCAGCATCAATAAGGAAATAGAAGATGCGTTTCCACCACTTCGAGCTTTTTCTTCCGTTTGCGTACGGGGTTCTCTTTTGGTCAAACCGGTCCACTCCTCCCATACGCTTTGTGAATTCTATAATTGTCAGCGGACAATGGAATGATTTTTTAGATCCATCATTTTGTGTTCTTTCACAAGATGTTTTCTGCTTTGGATGAAATACAGTGCTCAAAACGCTTACTATCTTTCCAGATAATAAACCCAACATTATTTTTTACCCTCCATTTCCATTCTCCTCTTGTCAGCTTTTTTGTTTTTTGGTTTGCATTTTTTACAGCCTTTGCTATCTTTTCATCAATTTCTTTATTACCAGTCGCTTTAGGCTTTTTTACAATTAGTGGAATATCTTGGCGGTCATTTCTGACTGTAGCAGTTGCATATATACCATTATTGTATAACGTTTGTAGTAAAGCTGGACTAGAAAAAAAGTTATCAAATGCTATATGACCCGTATAGGTTTCATTTATGAGTGACTGGCATAATGTCATGACAACATTACTGCCTAATCCTGTTTCGACGTTTTCGGTCTTTCCAGCATACACTTGAAACTAATATAAGTATCCTGAGTGGCTGTCAGCTCTAGCCTAAACCTTGAAGCCCCGTTTTATGGGCTTCATGGGCATGTATTGCTTTAGAGTAGATCGGCTCTTGAACTTTATCATACACTTGTCGATTGACTGAGAATGTGTGTTTTTGGCATTTGTCTGACATTTTACGTTGATGTAATCTGGCAGCGGCCTTATTTTATACAGTTTGTCGTAGTTATTATCGTTCCTGTTTGGCATATTGGCATTGTCATTGAGATGTAAATATTTCATAAGTTTTTGAAATCGCTTCAATGTCATTGTCTCAGCAATTTCAACAACATGCGGTAATGGGTCACTGGGCCAATAGTCTTCTATACAGGGTAATTTGTGAATGCCCATTTGAATTATCATGCCCAGTAAAGCTTTGATCTCTGTTGCTGACTTCTGTTCACAATTTTGGTCATTGCATTGTGATGCGTAGAGGTTAGTTTGGGTTACAATCATATCGATAGCTTCAGAGTCAAAAAACATTTCAAAAAATACGAGTGGCCTTGTCCTATTGGCTATGTTCCGAACTGGTTGTAATTGAATAGAATCAAAAAGAGAAACTACGGGATTCTGTGACCAGGCTACTTTTTTCCATTCGTCTTCATCTGCATCGGATCACTCTGAGTCCTCAATTTCTGATGGATCAAAATCTTCTTGAAGTTCATGTTCTATAAATAAAGGACTGTGTCGCGAACTTCTTGGTGGGGGTGGCTGCATAACATTTTCATTTGAGGGCCCTGGTTGAGGTGATGATGTTGGTCGAGGGCTTAGTTCTGGAAAGATCCTAGTGTTGATTAGGTCATAGTTATTTGACGACAAAATACCAGAAAAATCTTCTACATCGGAATCCTCCGCTTCATCTTCAGATCTCGCTCCATCACTGAAACCAAATAATTCTTCTAACGCTCTTTCTACTTCATCAGGTTTCAGATTCAACACACGACGATCCATATTCCTATAAAATACACAAAAGAAAATATAAATATGTAGGTACCTAATACAATACTAAACTGGTATTGGCCAACATGTTGTCGTCGTACCCTTACGGCATACAGACAGTGGCATATATATTGCCGACATGATTTTCGAAAATTACGTAAACAATATTTATTGTTTTCCAAAAATATACAATGATTCGTCAAGAATAATGAACAACTCATAAAATAAATGTAAGTACTTACAAAAAGGTAGTCCAGATTTCGAGATAAATTGAGATGTAACTGAAAACCACAAAATACGTACTTCGTCACGAAAGTCTTTCTCTGACAAGTGACAGATGTCAATGAGGTCGCATGTCATATTTTTTATTTATTTAGTGCTTCGTTCTCTGTTACAAAAATCAAACAACCATAATCTGTTCGTCTGTACTGTCGAAAATGAGAACATGATGGCATATACATATATTGCCATTGTCATTCAAAGGGTTAAAACGCTTTTAACTGCTTAAAAATATGTTAATTTTTGGGAAAACAAAGTGTTTTAAAAATATGTAATTTTTTATGAAAAACAGTGTTTTAAAAAATAATTTCGAACGGTTTGCTTTGTAAAAGTGAATTTTAAAGAATAGGGTTTGTTATTTATGTGTAGAGCAGTTCGAGGGTTAAGAAAATGTTGAGAAATGATGATCTAGGTAATGTATGATAGTGACTGCTTGGTCTTACGGCAGCGATCAACAGCGACGGCAGCGAGAAACACGTGAATATCCAAACCCTTTTATTATCATAATTCATAACGGTTGAAGTTGTTTCTAAATTTTATTAGATCAAAAATTGTATATTGGTACGTCAAAATTATAATTACAATAAGGGTGTTTGGTGGTCGGGTACATAAATTTGAAGGGGTGATACACTAGACGATTTAGAACATATTCATCCAAAAAAAATTTTTTTTTTCTAGCGCTATTTCGATTTTTAAGGGGAATTTTACGATTTTAGCACGAAAAACCCAAAATTGGTCAATTAAATGCTAATAACTTCTAACCTAAACAGAAATGTCCGTTTTTTTATTATTCTAGTAGTCCAATGTGTCCCCGAAGTAGTTTTAAGCTCCATTGTGTCCAAAAAGGTTATGTATTTAAAGCATTTAAACTTTACAAAAAAGAAGGAAAATAAAAAATGTGAATTTTGATGTTATTTAAAAAATAAATAAAATACCTACAGGTGTTCAGACAACTTTAAAAATATGCTTGGTTATTGCTCTTTAACTTGAGGTATCATTTACATAGCTGAGTCTTAAACTTTTTTAATTAGGGCGCCTGAACCAATTAAGGGTCGTGAATATGGATTTTTAGGAATTAAAAAAAAACTTTTGTACTGATTTTTTTTATTATTCGTGTTCAAAATGACGTCCACCATTGCGAATACACTTTCTGCAACGTCTTCTTACTTTCGTCGTTGTAATTTTCATCTGCATTTCTTGTTTAATGATTTCGAATGCTGCTATGATTCTTTGATGTAATTCTTCTCTGGACGTGATGTCATTAGTATAAATCAACTCTTTTGCCCGACCCCACACAAAAAAATCCAAAGGCGTCAGGTCGGGCGATCTGGCAGGCCAGGGGATGGATCCACCGCTCCCGATCCAGCTGCCAGGAAAGCAGTTGTCCAGGTGCTCGCGGACGCTTACAGCCCAATGTGCTGGGTACTCGTCTTGCTGAAAGATGATCGGTCTGTCCGTGTCCATCACTCCGGCATCAAATAGCAACATTGGCAAGTCGTTTATCATAAACTCCAAATAATTTTGCCCATTAAAATTATCGGGCAAAATGTGTGGGCCAACCAATTTGTTTCCGATGACTCCAGCCCCCACATTTATTGAAAATTCTCTTTGGAAAGAATCCTGAAACAAGAACGCAGTAAGATTAGTTAATGTAGGTAATTAAACATGTAAGTTTTGAGACTTTCACGGTGGTTCACTACAATTATCGTGACCATGCAATTTGAAACAGCTCCGAAATAATAAATGCAATGGTGGTAATAACCTGGTTCAAAATAACAATCTAATTGTAATTAAACTTGTGTTGAACATGAATATTTTTTTTTAAACTAGGCATAATAAAACAACAATATAATATAAACTATAACTAATAGGCTTATTTGATTAGTAAGAATCAACGTACAATTACAATGATCCAACCAAAATGCATTACATTAATTTTTTGCAGTCATTAAGAAGAAACTACTTAAAGATCCACACAATGTCAAATAAAATGAAGGGTCAGATACCATACTATTTATAATATCAAGGCTAGTTTCTGCCTTAATGGATTTCATACTTGTAAGCATTCATCTATATTCAAATTCAAAGTCAAAGTTAATTGTTTGATTAATTAGTGGTATTACATTGTACAATACTTATTATTAGAAATTTGCTTCAATTCATACATTTCAATATTACATGACAATATTGGTCTATCCCATGTACAGTTTGAATTATAATCAAGAACACCTTCTTTGATAAAGTCTTTAGAGTTAAGGACTGCCCTAGGGTGTTCTAAACAACCAGTACAAGCATATGTTATAGTAACTTCAATTTCACAGTGTGGCTTCTCGACAACTAGCTCTTTAAGCTCAATGTTTCCAAAAGACAATGACATTTGACCTGCAACTCTAGTCTTGTAGGTTATCCAGTTCTCACCATAGATGTTAAGATTTTAAATGTGTTCAATATGAATTGAATATGGACTTCTTATTTTGATCCCTCGTATGGATGGTTCATTCATGTGGCATTTCAAAACACATGAATCTGCACTACAATCTAAGTCACTAGTGTGATAAACTATTTCTTTGTTTTTTGATATCTGTATATCCCCATCCATATTTTTAATTAGCATGTTATGCGGGCTTACATCTAGGTTGTAGAAATCACTATCCTTTTCCAATATTGAATTTTTATATAAAGGCTTTTCATATGATGCACTTATCACATATATAGGCATGTGAGACATTTGAGCTATAAATATGTCGTTCAACATTGATTAAAACTACTTTTACGGATTTTATCGCGTTTATTTTACTATTATTTTTAATTCCCGACGCTTCGGGCGCTTTCCAGCACCCATGGTCACGGGGGACTGAGATGACTGACATCCCGATGTCATTGTTAAACCCGGAGTAACTTCAGCTATTTTAATTATTGTTTATGGTCCGATCTATGCAAAATGAACTGACTATGTCCTGAGGTCTTGCAGTGGTATGCTTGGGTTTAGTTTTAATTTTATTGATTATAGGATCCCAAGCAGTTGGTAGTACCCAGCCTCCTTTTCTATTGAAATTAGGATGTTTTTTAATTTCAATAGCCTCGCTCATCCTTGGTAGGAATCGGTGTTCTTTCGCGAGGATTTGTGGTCTATCAAATCTGATGTAATGGTTGGGGCCGTCTAGGATATGATCGCAAACTGCAGACTTCCCGGAACGTTGATGCTTCACATCAGCTATATGTTCTTTTACGCAGGTTCTAATTGATCTTTTTGTTTATCCTATATAAGAGAGACCACATTCACAATCAAGCTTGTACACTCCTGCATCTTGTAGAGGAATATGACACTTGACTGATGGTAGGAACTGACTAATCTTCTTCGGCGGCTTGTAGAATGTTCTAATAGAAGCTCGCTTCAAGATGTAGCCAATCTTGTCTGTGACATCTCTGACATATGGTAGTACAGCAGGCACACGCTAAACTGTGGCCGGCTTCACTCGGTCACTGTGAAGTAAGTGCGGGACCCGAAGCTTGTTGTCGTGCAGAACTTGCTTGACGTGCTGAAGCTCGGCGGCCAGGTGTTTGCTGTCGCAGATCCCCCGTGCTCTCTGTAACAAAGATTTGCCCACGGTAGCTAACTGTGAAGGATGGTGGTGAGATTCACCGTTTAAATATCGGTTTGTATGGGTCTTTTTCCTATACACAGTGTGACCAATGGTGTTGTTAGGATTTCGGATGACTAACACATCTAGGAAAGGTAAAGAATTATTTGCCTCTAACTCCATAGTAAATTGAATTTTAGAGTTTATGGAATTAAGATTTAGAGGCCATACGTCAAGACATTTCGTCTATGTTACGTCGAAGTTCAGCGCCGAAATTAAATCTTCCCAAAAATTAGAATTTAATTTAATTTAGAAAAGATTATTTAAAATTATGTGTAGTTTTGCACATTTGGTGTACTGCTGCTTCCACTCGCATAGCCATACTGATGTGGGTACTGGTAGGCATTCGTCCATCCAGTTTGCATCATACCACCGTCATAATTATTACAAACAAACTACAAATTGTACACTATATTTTATATTTTTAATAATTTTCATCACTTCGAACTGAAATTCAAAATTCTGTGTTGGGGGACATTGTCTTTATTTCCGGTAAAATATTTAGTAGAAAGTTCATATCTGGATCGTTTTCTCTTTTTTTCCATCGAGTTAATTAGTGCTTCTTGAAACAGTCATCTTTTTTTGGTCTACTGACATTAACTACCGAGTCAGTAGAATCATTTTCATCTAAAATAGCGCTACTGTCGCTAGACGTCTCGGCGCTAATATTGCCAGATGTCTGGTTGCTAGCTCTAGAAACATTTAAAAATGTAACATGTCCAAGTATGGTGTCTTGCGTTTTCTTGTTGCCCCACTTCCGCTTTTGACTGAGAAATCCTTATTTTTTCTCTGGTGTGATAGTCGCGCAAACCCTTTCATTTTTTTGTAGGTCTTTTACTGAAACAGAAATAATCGGTAGTTCAATATTCTTTCCAGATTCCTGTCAAGTGGACTAAGTTACAGAAAAATTGCACAAGAGTTTCTTGTTGGAAAATCGATGGTATCGAAAATAATAAGTGAAACTGCATGCATTATATGGGATATTTTACAGCCACAGGAAATGCCGGAACCTTCTGAAGAATTGTGGCTAGAAATAGCAAAACGATATTATAAAAAAAACCAACTATCCTAATTGTATAGGATCTATCGATG